CTGGGGGGAAGCTGCGACGAGGCCCGGATCGGGGCAACATCGACTCAGGATAGTCGCGGGCGAAGGACATATCCGCATCCGCAGCCTCGCGGGCCGGGCCCCCGGGCCACGACCCCGCGGATGCGGGCCGATTTTGTTCAACGCCCCGCGCGAAACGTATAAGAGCGACTGCGTACCCGCGGGATCTCGCCCCGAATCCAGACCGAGAGGGCGTGGACATGGAACGTCCGCCGCTCGTGCGATAAATCGGGGATCTCCGAGTTGCAGCGACTCTGGGCGCTGTGCAGTAAGGACCCGACCACAAGAAACCTTCCACAAGAAACCCAACCCTGAGACCCCTGGACGTCCAGTGATTCTTGGTCTCTTCCTGTAGCAAAACCACCGAGCCCCCAGAAACCCAGGGCACCCTGGTGGCAAGCAGGCTGTTTCTTGGCATGGGCCTCCACTGCACGCCGTCGATGCATCGGCCATCGGCCCGCGCTAGCGAAACCGCATCGATTGGCGGTGAATGGGTGCCGGGGGGTCGATGCTCCCCCCTTGGCACGCCCGGAAAGGATACGGAACAACGGGCACGATTGAAGGGGCCCTGGGACACACACACACACACACACACACACACACACACACACACACACACACACACACACACACACACACACACACACACACACACACACACACACACACACACACACACACACAAACAACGACACGCAAATAATAAAAGGACTCCCCATCTTTTCCCAGATTCTTCTGGGCTCCTGTCTTCCCCCCCTTCCCATATTTTGCCATATTTTCCGGGGGAATCGACGATTGATCGTGTCTGTGTGTGCTTCTGTCCCTCCCGACGGATGCTGCCACAGAGCCGATGGCGCCCCTGCCCTGCCGGCGGCTCTGCGCTCCAAGTGGGCGACGCCCGCGGCGACACCGGCAGCGAGCCCTGCTCTTACCAGCCTCGAACGTATCCCTATCCCTAAGATTGACACGCCAAAAGGCGATGACAATCTTAGGGACTTGCCCTCAAAAAATAAGGGAATCCCTAAGATTGGCATCGTGACGAGGAGGTGCCCAGCATAGGAATAGGGATATGTTCCAGGCTGGTAAGCCCTGTGTTCCAGGCTGGTAATGCTCCACAAATTCGGCGAGAGCCATCCCAAGAGGTCTGACCTCTGTGGGCCCCGGAAACGGCAAGGCCGTTTTTTCACCGCTTCCAGAAAAAAGTCCCTTGAAAACGGAAACGGCAAAAAAACGGCGACCGGAAACGGCAAAACAAACCGCGCTTCAGGCTTGGAACCGGAGCCGGAACGGGTAAACAAACGGCGACGGAACCGGCTAAACAACTGCGTCGGAACAGGCAACAAAACGGCAAAACGAAACCAGAAAACATCGGGCCTGTCGTTTCCAGGGCCCACTAGGTGGACGACGCCCGCAGCGACACCGACAGCGAGCCCTGCTCCAGAAGTTCGGCGAGAGCCATCAGGAGGCCTGACAACCTACCAGACCACCCCAACCCAACCCGAAGAGCCGAATTTCGGGTGGGGGGGGGGTACGGGTTCCATACGTGTTTTTTCAATGTTCCCTGGCCCCCCCCTCCACTGGAAATGGAGGGCAAATTGGGGCCTTCGGGTTGGGCTGGGGTGGTTTGGTAGGTGGTGAAGGCCATCAAAGGCGGCAACGACGCAAGGGCAGCGGTATCTTGGGCGCCCGAGTTATCCGGGGTAACTCGGGTCCGGGGTAACTCGGGTTTGGATTCCCGAAAAAAGAACCCGAGTTACCCCTGACCCGAGTTACCCCTGATGATTCGGGGCTCTGGACGCCCGAGTTATCCGGGGTAACTCGGGTCCGGGGTAAGTCGGGTTCGGAATCCCGAAAAACGAACCCGAGTTAGCCCTGACCCGAGTTACCCCTGATGATTCGGGGCTCTGAGTATCGGTACCTTCGCAGGCATGCGGCGCCCCGATGTTTTCCATACGGGGTCCCCCGAGGTCCCGACACGGGCCGGCTTTGCATCCCGAGCCGTTCGTTGACAGTCCCGGGGCCGAGCGAGGGCCCCCAGAGGCCCAAAAGGGCCTCAACACATCGCGTCGTTTTTTTTCACGACGCGAACATGTCTCGGCGCTCCTCCTCTGAAGTGCCAAGGCTTGACCTCAACAATGTTTCCCGTTCTCGTTCTGCTGTCGTTCTCCCCCGTCCCGTCTTCGTTGCGCGTCGCTGCTGCAGAACGGAATCGGAACGAAAAACGGCCCCACGACAATCGCCCAAGCACCATTCAGATCGAGCCCTATGAAAAAAAAAAAAAAAAAAAAAAAAACCTGCCGGCGCCCCCTCCGCTCCGCGGCCCCCGCGAGGCACGCCCGCGCGAAGCTAATATCAGTGTGCGGCCAGGACAGGAGGTCACCTGGTGGGGGAGGAGTGCGCGGACCTTGCCCGCTTTCTTGAATCTGGATCGCGCGCAAATGTCTGGGACAAGAGGCGTTGGGTAGAGGTTCGTTTGCTGTTGACCCTTGGAGGCGGCCAAGGGGTCTGAACTGGTTGGGGTCCCGGAAAATCGGTGAGGAGGGGGGATGAGGCCAAATCTGCTCAACATCCGTCCCCAGACCCCTTCCTGGGGTTCAGCTGGAGCAACTTTTCACCCCAGTTGCTTTTCGACAGTCCTGGGGCCCGAGAACAGCTTCCAGAGGCTGAAAAAAGGCGAAACACTTTCCCGAACCCAGGACCTCGCTGCCTGCTCGCCGAAACTGGTGCCGGGCCACCTCAGACCCTCAGACGGCTCCAGATTGAACCTCCGCTCCGCGCCCGCGCGTGGCACGCGCCCCCGCTGGCGCAGCTCCCGCACGACGGCCTCCAAGGTCTGGCGGCCCCCGCCGCAGCGCCTGCAGGGGCCGGGCGATGGGCCGCCGGGGGGGGCTGGCCCAGGGCCACCTCGGAACTCGGGTCCGTCCAGGCGCGCGCATCCCTGGAGGCCTCCCAGAGGGGGTCCGAGCAGACGGGACGAGCCGAAGCCTGCAGGTCCTGGCTCTGCCATTTTTTCACACGGGGCGCTTTGGCACAGTGTCGGGCCCCGGGCCCGCACAGAAAGGTGGGGTCCTGGGCCCGGGGCGAGGCTTTTGTGCGATGTTGGGCCTGACCTGCAACGTGTCAGATCTCAGGGTGGGACGAGCGGGAGGCGCAGGAGAAGAAGACGCCACTGCACACTCTTGAAACAAAGGCTTTCAGGAGGTCCGCGCGCACTTCTTGCATTCGCGCTGGCCCCCTTCCCCGCCGCGCGGGATGCGCCAGGGGCGGCGCCGGGGGCGCGGCCAGGGGGCCACCGCGAATCCAGGAAGTTCGCGCGGCCCTCCGAGAGTCTGCGCACTCGTGTCGATCTCTCTCTTCCTGTGGAGACCTCCCAAATTGGGTCCGAGCAGATGGGGTCGGAGGACCGCCTGGCATCGCCGATGCATCGGCGACGTCGGCGACGCATCGGCGCCGATGGCCTTGAGACAGTCGGACTCCACATCGAGCCACATCGCCGATGCGTCGGCGATGCGGCGCGATCCTCCAACCCCACCCGCTTGGACCCCCTCCCCCCTTGGGAGGCCAGGAGCCCCTCCTTCCCAGAACATGCTCGAGTTGGGATAACATCACGACGGGAGGCTGTTGGCCGCTTTCGGCCTCCGAGGGCCCTCGCCAGGCCTGAGGACCGTCAAAAAACGACAGATGCTAATATCAATCGATGGGTCTCGAAACCGTGATCGCGAATCCGATCCGACGCCAATCGCAAACCGAAAGCTGCGCCAACCCGCCCCGTACTTCGCTGTCCCCTAGGTATGTGCAACAGGAGAGTAGGAGTGCCACCTGATGCTGTACAGTCGGCACTCGTGGCCGAAGTGCTGGCCCCTGAATGGGGAATGCACGCAGCGGTGCAGCCAGTGCAGAGCCGTGAGACTGGGAAGCAACACGTAGATTCGAACATCTTGCACTATCTGGGCTGAAATGGGAGAAGAGGGGCGAGGGCGGGCAGGATGCACCGTGATCCGACCAGACCCCATCTTTCTGCAGCATGTTTAGAGCCGGACCGATCTGTGATCCCTAGACCCCCGACGTCATGATTCTGTCACAACGTGGACCCCCAAAGGTCTCGACCCGTTCCCCGGGACCGGCTCTTCATCCTGAGTCGTTTCTTGACGGCCCCGAGCCCCGGTAAGGGCCCCAAGAGGCCGAAACTGTAGGAAAACCTTCCGTCGTGACTCGTCCATGACTCGAGGGGGGTCTGGGGCTTGCCCCGGGGCCCGACCCTGGCTGCGGAAGCAATCGCAACGCCCAGATCTGCCGGCCGTTCGCCCCCGAGGAGGCCTCCGCCCGCCAGCGCCAGGCGGCGCGCCCGGCGGCGGCGGCAACACCGCGCCTGTGAGCAGGGACCGACCGTCCCGGCACTCCCACGGGCCCACCGAGACATGACGAGTCGCCGTGCCGTTTGTCCTGAGCGCGTCCAGGTAAGACGACGCCAGCACCGCGGCAAACCCACGGCAAGCCTTGCGGCCCGCGCCCGAGCAGACGACGCCAGCACCCCGGCAAACCTCGCGCCCGAGGCGGCGATGGCCCTGGTGGCCGAGGTGCGCCCCCCAAAGAAAGAAGGCCACGCGTCGGCGACACGTGCTCTTAGGAACAAAGAGTTAGTTGCTCTTACAGCAAAAACGCTGTTCTGCTGACAGAAGAAACGTCTGTGTGAAACCAAGGCAGTTTCGGCCAGAACTGTTCCAAGAACACTTCGCGCAAGTACGAAAGGTTCTTAGAACATCATTTGAGCGAGGACAACAAGCGGGTCTTCCGCGAGAAGACATCGGCGGCCTTACGCCGCGGCTTACGCGGGCCGCTTGCGAGGCGCGCTACTCTGGAAACGAGAGCAGTTGCGCGCGACCTCATACGCCGGCAGCTTACGCGCGAGTGCCAGCACCGCCGAACCCGTTTGTCTGCGTCGCTCCTGCCGCGCAAGCCACGAGAGGCTCTTAGAGCATTAC